TTTCTTGCTCAACTTGACATCCATATTGTCTCATTTTGATTTTGTTGATGTGATCTCCATCTTCTGGCTTTCTCCTATATTTTGGATAGAACCAATTCCCTTGTTCAAATTTAAATTTAATTTAAATCAAAGGGAAAACTATTTCAGTGAGGAGGCGGTGCCACCCCCACCCCCTGAGGCTCCTGTGATCAAAAGTAAATATGCTTATCCAAGTACCCTAGGTGTCATTCCCGTGTTCAAATTTAAATTTAATTTAAATCAAAAGAAAAAAAAAATCAGTGTAGGGAGGTGTTTCCCACCCTGGAGTCCCCTTTGATCAAAATGAAATACACTTATCCAAGTTCCCTAGGAGTCTGCTCAAATTTAAATTTAATTTATATCAAAGGTAAAAAAAAAATGTTCTGTGGGGGGTGGGGGGCTGTGGCCCCGGTAAACCCCCTTTGATCAATGCGAAATATATTTATCCAAGTACCTTGTGTAATGTAGTTTCCGAATATATAGAGTTATGAGAGTCTATCTCCAAAACCCTAGGAGAAGTTCGATAACAAACAGACTGACATAGGCTACAATTTTATATATATATATATATATATATATATATATATATATATATATATATATATATATATAAGCCATATTTCAATACGAAATATATTTATCCAAGTACCTTGTGTAATGTAGTTTCAGAATATATATAGTTATGAAAAACCTAAACCAAAAACCCTAGGAGGAGTTCGATAAGAAACAGACAGACATAGGCTACAATTTTATATATATATATATATAGATAGATAGATAGATAAGTCATAGATCTAGAATAAAAAGAAAAAGAAAATCTATGTAAATGACTAAATATTTCTGCTCCTAGACAGTTGACAAGAATAGTTAAATAGATGTTCTAGAATTTTCGCTCGTGGTCTGTACGTCTATTTGAAGATGACTGTAGTGCCCATAATCCTTGGCGGAACCGGAACGGTCGAAAATTCCCTTGCCAAGAAAGAGGCGGCAAAGAGATTTAAATCTAGAATAGTTAATTTTGAGATTGAGGAGATAACATCCTCTGCATTATTCACATTCAGACTATGTTCCTCATCTTTGTTGTTATTATCAAAACGTTTTCGACCTTTTTTATAGTTTTTTTTTTTTTTTTTGAGGATCAATAAAGGCGGTGTTTTCTATTTGCATGTATGGTAATTGTTCTGCCGAAAAGATGTTCCTCTTGGGTATTTTTTTTTTTTTTTTTTTTGTCTATCATCATATCAACACCACTGTGGGTTATTTAATGCCGGAAATCTAAATATTCTGAACACAATTTTATGCTGTCAACTACTTTCTGCTACAGATAAAAGGCATTATTCATAACTAGCAGCATGGCCCGGCGTTGCCCGTGCTTGATACAAAAATCGTACGACTCATACAGCCATCACTATCACTTGACTTAAAATATTTTTGCCCTTCCTTGCTTTTAAAGGAGTGCCCTTTGCCGTGTTGATGTTGCTACATGCCTTACTTCTTGCCTATATCACACAGCGAATTTTTTCTAAGCTCTATACTACACATTAAATCTTTTACGAAAAAAGAACTAAACAAAATGAACACAAAACGATCAGCTTTAAAAAAGGACTCGTAAGTGGAAAAACCGAATGAAAAAAGAATGTTAATAACAAATACTTTTTCACACTTAACCCAGTTCTGCGGAATCAGAATAAACGTTGAGTTTAAGCAAGCGAATGAGCCAATTGGAGTAAAGTGCCATGAGATTTAATCTTTCCCACTTGTGACGAATGCAGCTATCGATTTTTTTTGCATGCTAGCATGCTAGTTAACATTCGTGTCAGTCAGCTGTTGGCTCTCATGCCAGCCAGTAGAATCTTCCTGCCTATTTATGGCAGCCAGCTATAGGCTCTCACTCTGGCCAGTAGAAAATGGCCGCAAACTACATGAAAAGTGCTGTAGAAGCATGAAAAAATCGATTATTTCCACTAGCGATGGGTGTTGGGAAATGCATTGTCGGTCTTGGCCTTCCTGCTAACTTGGAGCATGTGCATGTAAATTTTGGTGCAAATCCGTCGAAAATTGCGACCGTGCATTCGTTACACACACACACACATCATGCCTTTTTATAGATAGAGATTCTGCTTTGAAAATGTATTCTTTGTCCTTTCACGATGAATATGTATCTTTGCTCCTGTTTATATAAAATTCTATTGCTGGTATACTTACTATAAAAAATGTGTTTGTATACTTTAATAGTATATCATTTTTGCTGGGGTTTCTCAATATGAGCATAGCTGGGAACAATATATATTGAACACATTTTTTATGGCTTCAACTAAATATATTTTAGGAGAGAAAAAACTAGTTGGACAATGTCAAACATTGGACAGGTATGACTATACAAGAATTGCTGATGGATGCAGTTGATAGACTGTTGTGGAGAAGATTCAATATGGTTTCTGCATTCGTAACCGCCCTACGATTACAAAAGTCAAGATGATGATGATGATGATGACGATGATGATGAAATATGTATTTTAACACAATTGTATACCTTTAATTCCAGATAAAATATAGGCCAAATATGTAAATACGGAAGCCGAGAATCGTCAGGAGTAAACAAGTAGAGAGTTAGAGAACTATCTTATCTGTTTATTACCTACTAGCAGCATGGCCCGGCGTTGCCCGTGTTTGATATAAAAATCGTACGACTCATACAGCAATCACTATCACTTGACTTAGAATATTTTTGCCCTTACTTGCCTTTAAAAGAGTGCCCTTTGCCGCGCTGATGTTGCTACATGCCTTACTTCTTGCCTATATCACACTGGGAATTTTTTCTAAGCTCTATACTAAACATTAAATCTGTTACGAAAAAAGAACTAAACAAAATGAACACAAAACGATCAGCTATAAAAAAAGGACTCGTAACTGGAAAAACCGAATGAGAAAAGAATGTTAACAACAAATACTTTTTCACACCAAACCCAGTTCTGTGGAATCAGAATCAACGTTGAGTTTAAGCAAACGAATGAGCCAATTGGAGTAAAGTGCCATGCAGATTTAAATTTTTCCCACTTGTGACGAATGCAGCTATCAATTTTTTTGCATGCTAGTTAACATTCGTGTCAGTCAGCTGTTGGCTCTCATGCTGGCCAGTAGAATCTTCCTGCCTATTTATGGCAGCCAGCTATAGGCTCTCACTCTGGCCAGTAGAAAATGGCCGCCAACTACATGAAAACTGCTGTAGAAGCATGAAAAAATCGATTATTTCCACTATCGATGATTGGGAAATGCAATGTCGGTCTTGGCCTTCCCACTAACTCGGAGCATGTGCATGTAAATTTTGGTGCTAATCCGTCGAAAATTGCGGCCGTGCATTCGTTACACACACACACACGCGCACATCATGCCTTTTATAGATAGAGATTTCACTAAGACCACGCCGACATCAAGAGACTTACTACTTCTTGATTGTGTTATCTTCATTCAAGGCAATGAAGACATACCAGTGGCGACGAGAATTCGGATTCACACGAAGAAAATATCGTTTCGTCTCACTTAGCATAAATAGCTGGCGAAATTCAAAATTCACGGAAAAAAAATTGCTTGTAGCATGGATATTCATATCGTGACTCGGAAGTCAAGGCTGTATGATATATGGCATTACAATAAGTTTTGAGTGTGTATCGAATGTCGTCAATTGCAAACATCACCGCGAAAATGTCACCTGCAGAGTTCAAGTTTGCGAGGAAAGTTAAATCCATTTTTGACAAATTACTGTCAAGAAATAAGAAGAAATCTCGACAATCCCAACCTACCAGATCATTTAAGATCGGTCATAAAGTATTCTTTAAAAGGTTCAAGGCCGGGAAAAAATGGACAAGAAGGAAAAGCTATTGTAGTATGATGAATATTGTCGAAGATGGACGATTTCATCATAAGAGACTTATTAATCAATTGATATCTAGATATGTAGAAAATAAGCAACCAGTACAATTCAATTTTCTGATAGACATACTTTACGATACTTTTGAAGTACCTATTCCTAAGAATGAATTTAATGTAAAAGTCTGGGTAAGCGAAATGATTTATTTATATTTAGGTCTCTAGGTACATATTGGCTATGTTTATTATTGAGACCATCCAAGGCTATAGGACCCGGTCTGTCCTGCTATTTAACCATGGCTGGAAGGAGAAGAAGGGTATTAGAACCTAAGTGAATGTAATGGATTCGTCACTCCGATTCCTCAATCCT